GAGAAGCACACAAAAGGCCGCGAAGGGAGGGCGGGAGGAGGAGGAGAGAAGAAGAAGGGAGAGCGAGGGGGGAAAGTTGGGAAGAACGAAGGGGCGGAGTAACCGAAGGAGGGGAAAAGTTGACCAGAAGAAAGGAAAGCAGTGGAAGCGGGGCCCCGGACGTCGCGAGAGTGTGCCCCCCTGCCCTCCTCAGATAGACCATCCCCGGAGGGACCGGGGGGTTCCCTGTGCCTTTCCATGGAACTGGTGCGCCGAGGGAGTCTCGGGGGACGAATCTGACGGAACCTCCTGACGCTTCTTGGGTAAGTCCCTTTCGGAGGGCGGCCGGCTTCTTGCCGCTATAGGATGGGGAGCTGCCGTTGGGGGGGCGGCGGCGGCGAATGTCCCCACCTTTGGAGGATGGAGGGAGCAAATGTGTCCTTCGCTCCTCGCGGGGAGCCGTCGGTAGCATCCCCGAGTTCGCAGTGGACCGGGCCGGAGCGAACAGGGATGGCGATGGAGGCGGGAGTGGCGGAAGCCAACGCGCAAGCTGGGTCAGGGAGTGAAGAGGGCCCCGCCTCGACCAAGGCGTTCCGGGCAGGCGGGTTGGGGGGGGGCAGATCCGAATTTGTTCAAGAAGGGGCTAAGACCCAAGATGGGGTAGCTGGAACCCTGACGGAGCCTGAGCGAGAGCGGCGGCACTCTGCACGCGCCCAGAGGGCTCCCCACGCACCTACGACTCGCCGTCTCTTTCTTCTTCGTAAACAAGTCCTGGCGCTGAGGAGGAGAGCGCCCGAGCAGCCTCGCCACGGGAGCGGAGAGGCAGGAACGGGCGGCTGGCCCAGGCAGGCGGGCGCGGATCCAGGCCCTTGGAAGACCTGGTGCTTGCAGGACAGCTGACCAGCAGCTGTTTTGCTCTGCCTGCCAGGGAAGCCGCAGCGATGGAGCCACGTGTGGGACGTCGGCCTGCCGCCCCTCCTCCGCACCCGGGTCACCCCGCGGACTCTGGGCAGGAGGGGCAACGTCCTCCCAAGTCCAGACGGTTGCTTCGCGGCTAGGAGGGGAGAAGGACTTGCCAGGCGGAGGTGTTTCCTGGGGGGGGGGAGGGGCCTGGGACAAGGTGGCCGTAACTGGGCGAAGTGCGGGAGCCGGCCGGCCTGCCTGCGATCCTCGCCCCCTCTCCCGCAGAAGACAGCGCTGGAGCCCCCCGACCCCACCCCAAGAGCCGCGAGGGAGTAAATGCAGCTCGGTCAGCTGAGGGGATGGATGAATCGATGGGGCTTCTTCCTCCCGCGACGTCGATGCCCGCCCCCCCCAAATATTCCCTCCCCCGCCCCCATGCATCACTGCAGGGCTCCGCCATCTGGTGCCGGGCCTCCTAATCCGTTTGGTTGCTAATGAGGAGCGGCAGGCGCAAGGAGGCGAAGGGCCAGGCTTGCAGCCGGAGGCGGAGGCGAGCGGGGGAGAGGGCCGGAGGACGCGCCCCACGTGGTGCGGAGGCGGGAGGGAAAGCCCTCGCCGAGAGCTGCCCTATTCAGCGCTGCCTACCTGGCTGGGTTGGTGTGCTGATGCCTGGGGCAGGCTGGCGTGTGGCGGGGGGAGACGCTTCTTTCCACCCTGCCCACGAGTAAGGCGTGCGGGGGAGCCTCACGGGTGTCTGGGGAGGGGCCGAGCTTGGGAGGGCAGGGGCGGTGTGGTGTGGTGGAGGAAAGCTTCCCCTCCCCGGCGCGGTTCAGGACAGAGGACCGCGGAGGAGGCTGCGAGAGGCGCTTCTCTGCGCCCGGCTCTTCCTCTGCCCGGATCCGTCTCTCCTGAGCTCCTGACGTCACTCTCATGATTATGGGTAGGGTTAGGGTTGGGCTGTGTACAGTGTAATGAGCGGGAAGGGGAACGCTTCCCCTTGCGGGCCAGCCCGCGGGTCAAGGAGTGGCCGGCAGCTTCGCTGACTCTGGGCGCAGCAGGGCACGGGAGCGGGCGGCTGCTCCTCCCGGTCCTCTCCAGACCTCTCTCGCCTTGAGGGCAGCACAGAAAAGTCCCGAAAAGCTGGGATGGCTGGAAACCATGAGGCAGTGGGGTGAGGAAGGGAGGCAGGGAGGGAGGGAGGGAGGGAAGGACCTACGGTGCCTGACTGGATCGTGATTTTGGCCCTGGAGCCCCAGGTTCTAGTTTGAAAACACACAAGATCCTATCCGGCCTTTCACAGCAGGTGGCAGGCGGCAGGCAGGCAGGCAGGCAGGCGCCACACCCTTTGGGAACAGAGGACTCGGTCAAAGGGCCTGAAGGAAAGAGGCCTCCATGCCTTGAGCAGAGGCAGTTCCCTTGGGCCTGACTGAATGAGGGCTGTTGAGGGGAACATCCACCCACCCAAACACCCGCCCACCCATGAACAAAGACTCCAAGGACATCCCTGGGAAAATTGCTGAGAGAACACCAAAGCAGCTACTATTTATTCTTCAAGGTGGCCAAGTCATCATTAGGCTTTGGGCAGGGCAAGGGTGCTGGCTGGCTGCGTGATCTCTCGAAGCCATAGCTGAAGGGCAGGCTCAGGACAGGTCCCACCTTCAGGTTCTGAGTTCTAATCCCATGGCCTCTGCTTTTTTCCTGTTACACTGCTCCTTTTGCCCAGCCAAAGGATGAAGGCCCTCTCTGGATGCTGCTGCTGCCGCTTGCATGTGCTCTGGGCTGCTGTGGCGACGTCCATGACCATTGGCTTCACCATCCAGCTCTTAGGGGTCTCCTTCCAGAAGAGGTAACACCCTTACTGCCCAATGCTCTGTGCCATCCCTGATATACACAGGGCGCCACAGGGTGCCATGTGGTCAGCAGGGCCACACTGTGGCCAGTAATGATGAGGGAGGAGGCAAAACAAAACTGCCTCCACCCTGAAGCTTTTTTTTTGGGGGGGGGGGACACCAGAAGGGAAGAATTTTCTGCAGCCGCATGGCTACGTTCTCCCTGCAGTGCTGATGCCTTTGCTGATTTCCTCCAGGGCTTCTTTGTCTCGACTTCTCCCAGCCAGAGCTGAGGCCACCACAGCAGAGGGAGACCCACCCAACCGGACTCTCCTATGTCAGCCACGGCAACACCTGGTCTTCCTGAAGACTCACAAGACAGGAAGCAGCACCATCATCAACATATTGCACCGCTATGGGGAAGAACACGCCCTGCGCTTTGCTCTCCCTGCCCGTTACCAGTTCAGCTACCCTAATCTTTTCCAGGCTCGGAAGGTGAAAGGTTGGCACCCCAGGGGACGTCCCTTCGACATCCTTTGTCATCATATGCGCTTCAACTTGCTTGAGGTGTGTTGGGGGGGCAGTCAGGAGGAGTAGGGATGAACATGGTCCTGAAGAAGGAGAATCTGGGCCTTTAAAATCCATCTAATGCTCCCTAGATTTCTTTGCTTCTTTTTCATGACCAGGGCATGGGTGGGCAGGGGCATAATGCACAGCTCTGCACTCTGTTCAACCAAGATCATTTCAAGATCAAAAAGAGTAGAGGCAATTATAATGAGTTAGAACATGTGCAGAGACATGCTCCTTGGCAGCAAGGAAACTCTACCACAGACCCGTAAGACTCAGGGAAGTCTTACATGCCCTGGCTTCTGGAGAAGCCTGTGCCACCACCCCCCAACTCTGAGATTAAGAGGTAAGGAGTCCACCTTTTTGCACCCTCTGAGGATGGTGTCCCAGTTCACTGCCATCTCTCCCTCACCAGGTCCAGAAGGTGATGCACTCTGACAGCTTCTACTTCTCCATTGTGCGGGACCCCGTTTCCCTGGCTGAATCGGCCTTCTCCTACTATCGAGGCGTGGCCCCTGCTTTCCGTCGTGCTGGCTCTCTGGCAGAATTTCTAGCCTCCCCACAGCGATTTTACAGGTTTGGTGAGCGAGGCAACCACTATGCCCGCAATCTGCTCTGGTTTGACTTTGGTCTTGATCCGCCAGCAGTTCCAGGGTTGGCCCCTATCAAGGACGCCCTGTTGGAACTGCAGCGAGTTTTCCATCTTGTACTGCTGATGGAATACATGGATGAGTCTCTGATCCTGCTACGTGATGCTCTTTGCTGGAGCCTCGAAGACGTGGTGGCCTTCCGACAGAACCTCCGCAGCCCACAGGCTGTGCGCACCTTGGAGCCTTCTGATGCTGTTCGACTCCGGGCGTGGAACAACCTGGACTGGCAGCTGTATACACATTTCAACCAGACTTTCTGGGCACGTGTGAACCACTTTGGCCGTGCCCGCATGGCTGAGGAAGTGACTCTTCTCCAAAAGCGCCAGGCAGAGCTCATGCAACATTGCCTTCAGGGCGGGGGGCCGCTGGAGCCTGGCCACATCACTGATGAGCGCATCCGTCCCTTCCAGTTTGGGCAAGCACCAATCCTGGGCTATGCCCTGCGGCCCAGCCTAGACCCTAAAGCCCGGGAGATGTGCCAGCGCATGGTTACCCCTGAACTACAGTACAAGGACATACTAGATGCCAAGCAGTTCCCCCCACTCCCACCAAGCAATCGGTCTCAGAGTGGACTGAGATAACCAGGAATGGCCCAGGGCCTCAGTGGGTGGCATAAAAAATGCCAGTTCTGCAACGGCTTGTGCATGGTTGGGGAGAGGGGCTTCGACTACTGGCTCTTGACCGTATTGTATTGTTTGAAGCACTCAGGAGAGGACTATGCACTGGATGCATACACAGCTGGGGAGGGTAGAATATGAGATGTTCCATCCAATCAGCTTTTGCTAACTTTTTCACATTTTGACTTTTTAAAAAGTCAGATCTGAGGAGGCTGAAAAGAGTGCTAGAAATATTTAGATCCAGAAAACAGCAACAACATTTAGTTAGGTAAAGGTAAAGGTTCCCCTTGACAATTTGTCCAGTCATGTCCAACTCTAGGGGACGGTGCTAATCCCCATTTCCAAGCTGTAGAGCCAGCATTTGTCCATAGACAGTTTCCATGGTCACGTGGCCAGCGCGACTAGACACAGAACGCCGTTACCTTCCCATTATGGTGGTGCCGATTTATCTACTCACATTTTTACATGCTTTTGAGCTGCTAGGTTGGCAGGAGCTGGGACAAGCGATGGGAGCTCACTCCGTAGCGTTGGATTTGAACTGCTGATCTTCCATCCTTGCAGTCCAGAGTCTTTGCAGTTTAACCCACAGCACTACCACGTCCCTAACATTTAGTTACATGACACTATTTGCAATGGGTCTAACTCCCAAAGCAGAAGGTTCAGAATTAGATGACCATTTGGTTCCCTACACCTAAATTTGGTGGAGAATTTCCTGTGGCTCTTCCAGGGAGAAGAGGGGCACTATGAGATATTCTTTCGCACAGCTTGTGCTGGCTTCCTTTCCAACTCAGCCCTGGCATTGCACCAAACCTTAAACAGGGGTGGTGCTAGTCCCAGGCCGCCTCCTGCTGGAGCACAAGGTTTCTGCAAGAGGGGAGACGTAAGTGTTTAAATGGCAGCTAAGAAACGGCACCATGACGAGAGTCCATATTCTTGAGACTTTGCTTGCTAAACGTTCCCTGGTGCTCAGGGTGGTAAAATACCTTGCATACAAGTATGCACACATATACAAACCTAGATGGCAACAGCTATGTCCCCTTGGAAATGGTTTGTGCTCAGTTCTGCTTCCTTCAGAGGCTTCTCTCCATTTGTATTTGTCCTGTGGTGCTCACATGTCCTTTTTTGCCCAGGAGAACCTCTCCACACGGAGGTTGCTGGCCAGGGATGTCTCCACAGCCTCCCCCGATTGGAAGAACACTTCAACTCATGCAGGGTGCAGGGAAGCAGTCTAGCAGGCTGGCCTGGTACTGTTTGTACAAATGCCTTGCCAATAGAGGCGCACGGTAGCAGCCTTGTTCTTGCCTTCCCTCAGCTCTGTTGTTCACAAGGAGCAGTCGGTGCTCCATGCTGCCAATTTAGTGCTGTGTGTCCCAATCTCTGTCTCGCCACCTCATTCTCAGTGACAATCAAATCACAAGGAAAACGTATGCTGTATTTACAAAGTCGCCAACAGTATGCAGATCCCGGGGGAGGGGGGGAGAACTCCACGGGCTCAGCCAGGCCTAACTGGGAGGGGAGAGAAGGTGACAGGTCTCTGTGTTCCAGGAAGATGCATGTAGGCTTAAGCTGCAAGAGGGTGAGCCCGAGTGGCCAGTTTTGAGCTTTTCCTGGGCCACAGATGTGGATGTGGCTAGTGCTTCTCCCAATCTCAATCTGTTCTTCCACTCCACTCCCATAATATGGCTGCTTCACTTGTAGGGCTGTTGTGACGTTCATAGAGATAGCCACTGAGTCCTTTTATGGGGAGAAAGGGCGTTTATAAATGAGACTTTAAAAAAAATACCATAATTAAATACATGGAAAATGTCTTGCGTTCCAAACAACAACAAAAACAACAAAACAAACCTGCCTGAGTGGAGTTGGGAGGACAGGCTAATTCTCACTGTGAAGAAAAGGGGTGGCCTTGGAATGTTTCTGCATAAATTGAGAAGCATTCTCAGTGTCTGGAGTACCAAAACCTTCAAGAACCACAGCACTAGTGAATGAACAATCCCTACTGAAAAAAGGACCGTACAGGGAATCTAGACTAAAAATCATTTTGTATATTAAGCACACAGGACGAGAAACCAAGTAACGGAAGGCCCCCTGTCCTCTGAGTCTCAGCTATCATCAGTCCCCTCACCCTCGCCATGCAGTGGCCATTGAAAAAACTGGCATCTGGCCGCATGGTGGGGAAAGGCCTGCTTGCAAGGACAATCAGTACTTACAGAGGTGAACGTGTGGAGCTCTGTGGAGCCAGCACTAGGCATCGGCACCTTCTGCCAACCTGGGCCCATGAAATCTCCAATGGCAAAACGTTTGTGTTTGTAAAATAATTTTATTCTTAATTTTTTAAAAAAATATATTTTAATAAAAATGGATGAATTAAAAACATACCAACTGCTTGGTACATTTTTGTTTTGAATTTTTAAAATGCATATCTATGCATTTCAACTAGTTTAACCTGAGATTTGGAAACAGGTTAAACATCATGGTATTTTCCCCTGAAAACTTTTAAATATTTTATTCTGATTTTAAATGCCCAGAAACGTATTTGGTTCTTTGGCCACTGACAGAGTTAAAGAGGAAAGCGAGTTAATTGAAGTGATGACTTACCAAATATGAAAATGACATAAAACAAAAAAACTTACCAGAAAACCCAAACCCCGCAGAATCTTGAGGCGCAGCACAAAACCGGAAAACTCCCAGTGCCGGTCGGTATCAGGTCACAATGACTGGAAAGGCCGTTGGAACGACAGGAGACGACGTGGAGGTCTTTGTCCAGCAAGGAAACGGCAGCACGGTTCTGGGCGAGGGCCGCTGGTCGCTCGCTGCACCACCGCCGGAAGGCCCCAGGATCCCTAGAAGGCACGTTCCTGGGAAGGCCCGGGCCCTGCTCCAGCTGGAGGAGGTGCCCGGAAAAGGCTGGATCCCTCACCCATCGCTGTGCCCGTCGGGCCCGGAGGGCGATCGAGGGCCACCGTGGATCGAAGGACTTGCCTACGGA